TGTATATATATGTGTATATATATGTGTATATATATGTGTATATATATATGAATATATATATGAATATATATATGTATATATATATATGAATATATATATGTATATATATATATGAATGAGAGAGATAGCATGTTATAAACCATTTATTACATGTTTATACACTACTTATAAATAAAGTGTTGGCAACACAAATGAAGATTCAACTTTTTTTCCAGAACATGGATTATGTATTGTATTTGTTTGGCCCTCCCCTATAGTCTAACGCTCCAACCTGCTTCACTGTCTGTCTGTAGCTATTTGCCTTGTACGTGTGCTGTCTGTTGTGATGGAGACCGCTCCAAAGCCCTTTGGTGAAGACCAAAGTTTTTACTGAAACCCCTTCAGCACATGTTCTGGTTTCACTTATTTATCATTTTGTTATCGGTTGAGATGTACTCTTACAGGTCCACTTTCAAAAGAGGACACAGCAGGGGGAGTGCGAGATTTAAAAATCTGATGTGCACTCTAAGTGTTGCACTTCAGTATGCAGCACCTACTCCGTCACAAATGTCCAGTACTTACTTCTCTGTACACGGCATCCCTTTCTGCAGTAAGACAGTGATAAATAGCATTTTACCACAGTTCAGTCATGTCCTCGATAGGGCTTCACTTTTGCCAAAATGTGATGGATCTTTATAAACTGCAATTTAAATGCTATTGCTTTCCTGATAAATGCGATTTTTATAAATGATACCATAACATGACCTGTCACAGCTTTATTGATATCTTCATCGCAGACCTCTTATTGAGCTCTACTTACTTCTCATTAAATGTCCACAGTAATTTACATATAATGGTAGAATGTTTCTTTAATGATCAATACAAGCTATTATTAATGCTAGCTGACACCACAGGTTTTCACCAGGCAATAACCCATTATGTAATATGTCAGAAAGAGCTAAAGCTAAGGGGCTTTGGACCTTTTGGTCATGGAAATGTACGTGTGTCTCATTTCTCTGTACATGCAGATCTCACTCTGTCTCTTATATGTATATGTGTCTGTCGCTCAATTTAGCTCTTTGTTTTCCTTTTCCTGACAATGCACTGCATATTCAGAAGAGGCAGCCTGTAGGTATATGAAAATGAAACACTCTCACTAGCTGCATGACCCTCCTTATCTCTCCTCTTTTGGTCATTTCCTTTTTGTGTGGAGACTTTTAACCTTTCTTTGAGGCGTTTTATATTTTGTTTTTGTTTTTTTTGTTCAGGTATAACATCACAATGCCTGATGAGATTAATCAAAGAAAGAAAGGCAAAATGTTTGAGCTCCACAAGACATCAGCACTTACACGCTTGAAGAACCAGAATTTAATTTTAAGCATTTTGTCTCCCCCATTTTTCGTACTTGTTATCGTTTCATGTCTGTTTTCTGTTACCTTGTACCGAAAAAAACAAACTTCCATCATGTTCTCCGTTGTCCCAGTAACCAGTCACGTGTCCTGTATGTTTGAGTATCTCGTATTGCTGCATGAGCTTTGCACGCTGGGGTCTCTCTCTTTCTCTCTCTTGCTTTTCTTGTTTCCTCCTTTTTTCCACCTCTAGCTACTTCTCTCCTCCCCTTGTTTCTCTGCTCTAGGAATGCTTGTGCTGTTGAGTGTTGTTCACGTGTTCCCTGTCTCCCTCTTTCTCTCTGTGCAGGGGATGTGCTGTTCCAGATGGCTGAGGTCCACAGACAGATCCAAGTGCAGCTAGAGGAGATGGTTGGTATTCTGAGCTCAAAGGGTTTGTAGCTGTGTGGTTCAACATCGCGCGGTCTCTATGAGACCCTGGCAGTGCAGAAGGTCTCACAGTGTAATATTTTAACAATAGCTGTTGTCCCTGAGCTGTCGAAGCCCCTGCGGGCCCGAACATGGATACAGGATAATTAAATGAACATGAACTCGTATTGAATGAACAGACATGCTGAGTTCATATAAATCCAGGCTGCTAATACTGGAGGTGGCTGGGGAAGTGGAGTGAGTTAATTGAGCAGTATGGCATTCTGGGTAATACACTCGTGTAATGAGTTATCCGCAGCTCGTCAATAGTAAGTTCATTAGTTTGTGTTCAGTATAGAGGAAGGCCTGGGCATAGGTGATCATCATGTGGATGCCCTGGAGCTTGAGCCAGCTGCTCTTTTATGTCTACATCTGCCGCTATGCCTTTACTAACCGTCCTTATGCATTATGCCAATCCGAGTTGGAAATATGTAAATGTAAACTGTTACTTAAGATAACGGATGTTATCATTAACAGTTCTGAATGTCAGCAGAGCAAAGATTGAACACTTTTATTCTGATATGGTAGCCGCCGGGTCTTCGGGCAGGTCAGTTTACAATCTAGTGACTAAACATTGTGTCAGATAGCACTGAATCAGTGACAGTGACAGTGATGTGCAAGCTGAGAGAGGCTTCACAGGCCAGGACTTTGTTGATAAAACATTTATTCAGTGACTGAGTCAATGAGGATAACACATTTATTTTAATAACATATTTGTCTATTGCATACAACTCCATGTGGACAACTTTGTTGCTGACCTTGGTATCCACATGCAGCCTTCATGATTCATTTCATTTCATTTAACTGTTTTTTTGCTCCCCCCCCCAGTTGAAATCCTTCCACAACGAGCTGCTCTCTGAGCTGGAGAAGAAGGTGGACCTGGATTCCCGTTATCTGACTGTGAGTATCTGATCGTTCTCCTGGAGCCCCGAGAACAGCCTCAATCCAATAAGTGCATATTTTATCTCATTGTTAGTGTTTTATATTACGTTACATCAGATCTGTTTAGGCCTGATTTGACCTAAGTGATAACCGAGATGGAGGTGAAGTTGTGTTTTTAGCATCGGGATCAAAGTCTGTCTCCAAGCCCATTAGAGAACGTGTGTGTTTAAAGATATGATTTGGAAAAACATTTCACGTCTGCTCACTCATCAAGGGTCGACTGATTATAATAAACCCCTCCTGGAGTGCGAGTGTGTGTGCGTGCATGTGTGTGTAAGCAGTGTGGAGCTGGTCTACATGAGATATCTTTAGAATGAGTGGGTTGCAGCCTGAGTGTATAGCAGCACTGCTGCGTTGTTGTTTTGGGGGATGGGATAACATCGCCATTATTGTATTATTGTACTGTTGGAAGAACCACGTTACGAGCTGCTTCGGCTAACAGGCACTGACTCACTTACACACACAACTTAATATGATATTGCTCCGAAAATTGAATGGGGGGGAAAAAAGGCTTGTTTGTAGACTTCTGGCCTTAAAGAGGGCTCATCAGTAACATCTGAGCTCAAAATGACAACATCGAAGTGTTTTGATTTTTGTTTGTATTTATTTCGATCTATCTTCAAGTAATCTTGGACTCCATACACACATGGGAAAAGATATGGAAATGTTTCATGCTTCTTTCAGTAGTTCTGATGCATCGACTATTTTAGACATCGCTATCATGATGTATCCCTGAGGTTTTAACATCCATTACTTTTAATGAATTTCCTACAGCTCTGCTGTGGTGATAATAGCAGTCATTTTGCTTCAGACTTTGTGAATTAATCATCTGAAATCTCGACTTCAAAAAGACTCGAAGGAGAGCTCGCTGTTGTGCGTGTGCGTGCTTGTGCGTGTGTGTGTGTGCGTGTGTGTGTGTGCGTGCGTGTGCGTGCGTGTGCATGCGTGTGCCGTTCCCAGCGGTGAATCTCCCTTTGTTCTCCGTCTCATTTTGTCTTGTCACGCGTAATGACTTACGCGGGGTTTTACGACACCGAGGTCAGCATTTGGGCATTCAGTAAACCTAAAATGCAGAAAAAACCAGCACATAGATTTCCAATGAAGAAGAATATTTCTGGCAGATGAGCTGCAAGAGACGAGGGTCAGATTCTCAAAGTTTACCAAAGTTCATCTGCTGTCCACTCTGTTACTAACCAGATTTAATCACCAATAATCTCTCTGCAGTAGTAGCCAGTGATTGTGGCGCTGTAAACAAAAGTCAACAAGCTTTTGATTTGTTAATTGGAAAGAACATTCCAGCTCAAATGAGGCGGATGCTATGGGTATATTATCTTGTTTACCCAATTTCACCCTGCATACCTTTCACAATACCCGATTGTGTCTTCCCTAACCATCACCACACTGTGTGATCTATGCGAGGGGGGTTTTCCCACTGAGGAGCCCATATTGGTTGTACTGCTTGACCTCAAACACCAGGAGAGACTGAAAGGATGAATCGTTTATTGCTATTGGGTTTCAAAGACGACACCAGTGCAAAAGCACGTTTTTTTTTTTGGTTTTTTTTTGTCCCATTTTGAAATGTTGAGCAAATTAATATTTCTGAGAATCTCCTGACCTGGAAAATGAATCAACAGCAGATAAATTTAACTTCTAAATGTAATTTTTGTTATTTATTATTGTGACGTCACTATTTGTTGAGAGGTTCCCAGCTCAGCTCAGACCCACAGAGCTAATGCCACCCAGTGCCTGTGTCATACTGCGAGTCCTGCAGTGACAACAACTGCTTCGTTTCAGCCCAAAGGGTACCTAGAGGATACCTACGTCCTCGGTGTCTTTCAGTACAATGTTGCATGAGCTCTCCTCAGCCAATGTTGCCTCGTACAGGAACCACATAAGCTTTGTCACACCAGACCCAGTTACTATAGCAACAGAGCTGGTTCAGCTGGGAAACAAAGTTGTTATTCTCAATAAATAAATAATTAAACAAGCAAATCAAAAAGCTCTGGTTGTAAAAGGACTAGGCCAATCGTTTTGCTACAAATCACACATTAGGTTTGGCTTTGCAGGCTGCCATTGATTTCTATTCTTTTCACCACCCTTAGACTTGAGATGTGCCGGAGATGGGTAATCACTGACGTGGACGTTTTTTTAAGAGACACAATCGAGTGCTTTGTTGTTGTAAAATCAAACCTGGGAAAAAAAAAAAATACAAATAAGCGAGCATGGCTGTGGTAAAGAATCTTCTGAATGTGCTTGTTTCTTTAGATTAAAAAGGAAAATCGCACAGAAATAATGTATCATCCATGAAAATGAAGGTGAAATTACTGTGAGATGATTTTCATACTGTAGTGAAATGAGTTGTTGAATCCAGTGGCTTGTTTTGTCAGGTAAGAATTCGTCTAAAATCTTTTTAGAAATAGGTCGGTAGTAACGTTGCACATTTGTTCATACGACACACCCCCCCGCCCCCCCTTTGGTCACCCAGGCTTTTTTTTGATTTGTGGTCTTGATTTTGTGTTGTTGCTCTGCCTTGTCTTCCCCACGTAGGCTGCCCTGAAGAAATACCAGGTGGAACACAAGAGCAAAGGGGAAAGTCTGGAGAAGTGCCAGGCCGAGCTGAAGAAGCTGCGCAGAAAGAGCCAGGGCAGCAAGAACCCCTCCAAGTACGGAGAGAAGGAGATGCAGGTGAGCCTCGGGAGTAAACGAGTAGGAAGAAGATGTCTCATTACCATCATTATGGGCTGCACAATTCAGGATTACGTTTCTTCCATCGTGAAGGGCTACTTTAAAGCACAAAAAATGTGTTCAATATTAACATTCAAGCCAGTTTGTAGCCCTGCTGTACTTTTAGCAGAGTTTGCATGCATGTGGGTGACTGTTGGATTGTATTTGTATGAGTCTTGGAGGAAAATAATGACTTTATTCTTCATAAAGTAAAGAGAATTCACTAAACAGCCAGGATGGGGGAGGAGGCAGTGGCGACGAGGTGCCCTGAGTGGGAAGACAAATAGTGGAGGTTTGATTATGAATTGTGCCCTCACCAATTTTTCGCACATAGACACAAACGTTAAAAAGATAAGCTTCACTAAATGATGTACTGAAGGCTGCATTTACTTAAGCCAATGTGTTTCTTTCTGCACATGACTTTGATCAGGGTTTTAACAGAATGATTAAAAGCACAGCTTGTATATATACACCACGAAATAGCCTACGCAGTTATCCTCTGAGGATTTACCTCAAGCACAGACATTTAAAGATAAAAGCTTAAAGCAGAGCCGTATTATTTACTAAGATTATGAAATATTGCCATTTTATAGTTGGTTTTTGTTCTTACACTGTATATAAGAAGAAACATGTTTGGTGTTATTTATTATATAGCATCCTGCTGTAACTTTTCATTTTTGTTTCAAAATGAAGTCAGAATGTGGACACGTCATGTGAAACATATCATGCTGCTGAACTATGAATATGTACATTTAAACAGAAAGCTTTAAAATGTCTTATTTTGGTAAAGGCGGTTAGGTGACGTGGCGTGCTTGTGTACCTGCTACAGTACATCTGGATAAAAATGCTCAAACATTTGTATTAAAGAAAACATTCTTTGCAACAGCTTTGGTCTTCAGTATCAGATGGCCGACGACCATCACACCTTGTAAAAATGTATATATATCAAACTGAAGCAATCGCACGATTCACTGACGGAACAAAGCAGTGTTTGTTTTGGGCGTCATCATTCGTGTTGTTATTTCCATCGCAAAGCAGCCTCCGACAGAGCAGCTCGGATGAAACTAATTTTGATGAATTGGAATGAACCCTCAGTGTTAGACATAACTTAATTAGTTACCCGTCACAATTACTTTTCCGTCACTTGAGTGGCGAGGTAGTGTTCTTCCTCCACATAGACACACGCATACCACCTCTTTATTAACCCTAAAGCCTTCACTGTGGTGTTGTTTACAAGTCATTTGTTGGTTAAATCCTGTAACCTGTTGCTGTCAAACTGAGAAAATGGGGACAGAGTGACAGAGGTTCATTCACCAGGATATCACTAGAAGCTGGAAGTCTGACTGCCTGGAGAGGTGGAAACAAAAATCTCTAACAGGTTGAGGCTTGCAGGGGTAATAGCTGAGCCGCTATTGTCTCGTCGTGTTGTGTGGCCGCCCATGACGGATAATGAACAATAGCTGGACTAGAAACATGATTCTACAAACACGTATGGCTACAATGTTTTATAGAGGCGGGTATGAAAACGTTGCTCTTCCCATGTTGTAGAATAAAGCACCTCCTCTGCCCGGGGCTGAGTTTTCACAGTCACACAGACAACCATCTTTCCTTTCTTGTCTGGGATGGTATGACAGTGCTGGTCGCTGTGACTGCTGTGTCACATTGAGTTTGTTCCACTGTGTCAGGAATGCCATGAGGAGACGCTGCATGAAAGGTCAAAGCGTGCAGCAGTCCAGCTTTGCATTGAGCTGTGGGCTGGGGACGGGAAAGGGTGTTTGAGTGTACTAAGCCAGTAAATGTCAGTTGAGAATGGCAAGTTGTTACATGTTCGCGTACTGCCTCGTGTGTTGGATACGTAGGCCTCTGTTAGGTTAGATGGAGCACAGTTTGACGAACAGAAACGGGAATGGAGGCTTATAGAGTTCATAATCTTCATTAAACCCCAGAATACAAATATTTAGTAAGTAAAATTGGCATTTTTTAGAGCCTAATGAGTAGTGATGCTAATTTAGAGTTGGTCTCAAGGGGTTCTGAAATACTACAGAGGCATTAGAAATAAAACGGTTCATCCCCTGAGGACTATGAATGTGCTTAGCCATTACTTTTCTTATCATTAATATCTTGTGTGCAATATTTAAAATGTATCCTAACCATGGTACAAAAAAAGTGTGGCAATCTGCCCAATGGACTTTGATATGTTATTTGTTCTAACTTGAAGTTTGGCCGGATGGTGACGACAGACAAAAGGTCAGGGGTTCACTGAAAATGTTAGTGACGCCATGTTTCGTCGCCATTAGTGCGTACTCTATGATACTGTATCTTGCTGTAGATCAAAGTAGATGTGGCGGCAGGCGGCCACTACCGCAGCACAATTCCCAACAATTTAAACTTGATGCATATTGGACATAGTGTGACTCTACTACTCTATTACTGCGTCTCTATGACTGATCAATTGGGCCCATCTGCACAGAGGAGCACGCTCATCAGGCTCTGGACTCATAACGTCAGTTAGCAGACAAAAAGGAAAATCAATCTCCTTGATCCACTTTCAGCCTGCTCCCTTCCACTGATCATATCACGGCTGTAGGCGTGTGAGAGAGAAGTCAACTGGTTTGTGCCAGAGTCCCCCGGGGAGGATGACACACACACACACACACACACACACACACACAGAGGGAGAGAGCCCTGCACTCTTTCAAGATGCTTCACAATTGCATCCACCTAAGAAGGCTTCGATGGTGACCAACGTCCAAGACTATTTAGTTCAATTTCTGCGTACAGGGATGGGTACTTTCAGGCAATAATGAGGCAGTTGAGAAAGTAAATGTTGCTGTGCCAAGATCAACATTTCCTCATCCTCCTCCTCGTCCTCCTCCGCCACATCTTTGTTATTCTAGCAGATGAGAGGCACAAAAGTCTTCTTTCATATCTCCTCTCTTTTCATTAAAAAGTAAAGTATGTCTGAGCAAAGTCTGGCAGCGGCCACAGATGGCGGCCGCATTGCATTGATTGCTCTCTCTCTCGCGCGCTCTTCGCTGTTGTCTCTCCCACTTCTCTGTCTGTCTCTTTGTCTGTCCGTTTGTCCTCCCTTCCCTGTTCTCTCCTGTCTTCAGACACTTCCACTGTTCCATCACATCAATGGGTAAAGACCCTGCCAAAATGCTAATCAGCTCATTATGTAGTTCAGTGGAGTGGAATAAAGTAGCAGTAGAAAGGGGGTTTCATCTAGATAAACTCCTTTGCGCCACATAGGCTGTTAATAAGAGCTCAGACAGAGACGGGGAGACGGAGTTCAGGATTAAGGATGAATGTCTCGAGATGTTCGATAAACTCCGGGTTTCTTCAGCTCGGTGTCATAAAATTGAAAAGGGATTCCATCCTGGAATCGTGGATTCACACGGATGGAGAAAAAGGTGCGCTGGTGTCGTGCAGGTGCAGTGGATGAGTACTGACCAACACACCCAGCAGATTTAAAGTAGTACTGTAGGTGTAGGTGCTTACTGTTGTGCGCCCTGGACAAAACAATTATTTTGACTCCAACTGTGCAGGAAAAATGCTTTTGAATCCCCGCAGGAAGGAAAATGAGTATCAAAGGTGTTGACTTTGTGAATCGTCTGTATGCTTCACTTTTGGAGGGGTGTGAAACCCTCCCCGTGTCAGTGATTGTAATTACTGGAAGCTGTGTTAGTGTTCAGTGCAGCAGGAGTGCACACTGCATATCTTGTCAGGATTTCGTCCTGAATATGTCAGTATAAGGGGGGAGGCAGCAATGCTGATCTCTTAAAAGCCTGCATGTGAGAACTGCATTGACGTGTTGCAGGTTTCATTTATATTCATAACCTTTGCAAAACAAGTTATTCCAGCTATGATGTAACCTGAGGTTGCTCAGCTATAATACTGGCTGCTGTCTGCCTGGGCCCTTCCCCACTGCAGTCGTTGTCTTGGGTTACTTTGGTGACCTTTTTGAATGGTTTGAGAATCGGGCCATGTGGATCTGACAAGTCCTTTTAGCTTGTTGAGGTGATGCTCAGCCCTTTAACTGGAGGCTGTGCCTGTAAAGAACGAAAGCAACTGACTGAACCAGTTTCAAAGCACTTAATTTGAGCTTAAGGTGTACAGAAAGAACAGAATAAGGTCAGGCTGTTCTCAGGAGAAAAATGCGTTTCATCCCCGTCTTGCTTGATTTGACAACTTGGCTCTGTGGATTTGTGTAGTAAGGGTTTAGGTGGATTTCTACCACCGCTAGTGCAAAAGGCCGTTCCTAAAAAATGTAAGCATCATTTATGCACCGAAGATATTCCTCCACACATGGGCTCCCAATGAACTAACTTGTTGCTTTTGGCAGTGGGGAAGTAGTGTGCTCTGGTGGTTACTAAATGAGATGCATCTACACTGTGCGGTGGCACCACAGGATCTTACGTGTAGCTGCAGGAAACGACTCCAACTTAACAAACTTCTTTTATTGTTGTTTTATTGTTGTGAAATATGATGAAAAAATGTTCTACAATGTATTCTAGTGCTTTGAGAATACCGAACCTGAGGAATTATGACAATTCTTCTCTTTTACGGCTAAGACTGAAATGACAAAAGTAACTTGAGACGGTGTTTGTCTCTGTACCATTTCCTAATATGAAAGGGTATTGGACTCATGTGTCAGCAAACAAGGTAGCCATTTTTATCATTGGAAGCATTCAGAACAAAGTGTAATTGGTGATTACCCGTGACACGCCAGCTTGATTTGTAAACCAAAATAAACGCATTTATATGTGTATTTGTTTCCAGTTGTGTAAAAGTAAACCTTTACCCCACAGCAAACTTCAGTGAATGTCCCAAAGAAAAGGTCAAATCATTACAACTAAATATAACCCTCTCATCTGTCAGCACTACTCAGCAGATGTTACAGGATTAAAGCCATGGATGTCGGCCTACTTCTAGACTACAGTATCGAAAACGTTCAGCTACCAACATGCAAACTGCTTTCTGTCAATAGGGTGCCTGACATGTGTATGCACACACTCTCATACAAACCTAAATGCCACTTCCTCCTCAAAATATGGCTGCCTGTATCTTCTCATCACCCCCATCTTGTATGTGTGTGTTGTCGGAGTACTCTCTGAGACATTTCCCATTTTTTTTTTTTTTAGAGAGCTCATGTTAAGACGAACCGTCCGCTTCCGGTCTCCTTCTCTTTCTGTCTCTGTTACTCACTCTTAAACAATTATTAACACGCTGGCTATTTGTTATTGTCTTGACACGTAAAATCGATAAGTGGATTTTTGTGAGCAATTCCACCTCCACACTGCGGGATCTTCAGTCATAATTGCCTTGCCTCGGCAGCACTCAGGAGGGAAAATCTGGCCTGAGAAAGTTACAGAGTAAGGCTCTTTCCTTGCAGAACTATTACCTCCAAGGTGCACTTACACCCTAATTGCTCCAGTGAGACTCTGCGGTGATTGGCAGTAGAAGACTGAGCTGGACTGAGCAGCTCTAAGTGTGAATGGGTGTAATTGTGTGAATGTGAAGAAGGGTGTTATTTAAAAAAAAAAAAAAAAAGGAGTACTTAGATAGCTGCTTTGACCCTTTCCTTGTCAGACCTTCTGTCCATTTGGCATAATGCTGTGAAAGGACCTGCAGTGCACTGGTAGCCAAAAACTTCTTTTTCACTGTCTCAGGTGTAAAACCTATACAAAGATAATGATTAGGCATGTGAAACAAAAGAAAATGTGGACATCTTTTGATTCAAAAACTGGCATGGTGTGATTCTTTTGATTCTTATGTCCCATGTGTCATTGTGTTTGCCCCCCCCCCCCCCCCCCCAGTTTGTGGAGACCATCAGCAGTAAGCAGACTGAGCTGGACACCTTCATCGCAGAGGGATTCAAGACAGCCTTGTCTGAGGAGCGTCGCAGGTACTGCTTCCTGGTGGACCGCCAGTGTGCCGTGGCCAAGAACAGCAGCGCCTACCATGGCAAGGTAAGTGTCAAACGACCAACAATAAGAGGGTTTTTTTTTTTGGTTTTTTTTACGATCAAAGAAAGATGCGGAGAGACATGAACGCCATGGAATTAGAATAGATAATTATGTATTTCAGTCATGGCTAATGTTCTCAAGAAGACAGCTGTTTAAGTCAATGCTGCCACTTTCAGTATTTCTATGTCTATGGCTAGATATAATTAAAAAATACCTAAATGTTTTGCTTTAGAGTGTTTCACTCGCAATCTCCGCCAATCTGCTTCAGCAGGACTGTGTGGGTGTGTTTTGATCACATTTGATTGATTGTGATGACAACACAAGCAAGCAACCCCTCAACTGTTATCGGATGGAAATGTTGCTCAACTCTGATTGGTGCACAGAAATGACATCACATTTTTCCCACCTGAGCCTCGCCAGCTCATAATTATCGTAGGAAATCTCCCATTCGAAATAAGCAAACATGAATCCTTGAATAATTCATTCTATCATCAAGTATATGTTTGCAGTAACTAATAGTCTAACTTGTTTTCCCAATGTCACCGTAGCTTTCAATACTTTTCCCTCAACTAATGAGCAACACAGTTTCTCTCTATGTCCAAAAAGGGATGTGTGCAGAGCTTGTTAGGTCAATTTTATAAAATGAATTTTCCTTTCTGCTGTTGTGTTGATTCTAGCCAGCTACTCCCTGTCTGTCATCTGTGTTTTATTTGAAACTCACCTGCTGCAAACCATTGTTCAGCCAAGAGAGCATACTAGGAGATATATAATTCAAAGTCGCATTAGCTTTGACCGCTCACAGGGGCCTCTTCATTTTAAAAATTCATTAAGACTGTAGACAATGCCCAGCTGACAGGCATATCTGAAGCTGTAATCCATCATTGCACCTTCGAGTGCCCGGCCAACTTTTTGTGTAGAGAACTGCCTTCGCTTGTTTGGTTCATGCGAGACTTTAATAGGAAAAGACATGAACACGCTGAATGCGGAGGAAAAATGGATCGAAATCAAAGCTCGGGACAAGAGTTGCAAACTGTTTCTCACTCATTTTGTTTACAACAGTCCGTAGGTCGTTTTATTATACCCGCTTGTTATTTTCACTTTGCTGCTGACATTTAAAGCGAAGAACCTTTTTAGATCTGAACAGACCTATATCATACCATCAAAGGTAATGGAGCGATATTAAGGATTTAGTTTTTATGCCTGTGTGTGTGTGTGTGTGTGTGTGTGTGTGTGTGTGTGTGTGTGTGTGTGTGTGTGTGCGTGTGTGTGTGCGTGTGCGTGCGTGCGTGCGTGCGTGCGTGCGTGTGTGTGTGCGTGACAAATGTATGCCTATCCATTATCCAAGAATTTGATATTCTTGCGTAATGAAGTATATCAGTCTCCTGGGATTACTGGTGGGTGTGAACTGCCAGCCTGAAGATGTGGCTGGAGGAAGACTCTTTGTGTGTGTGTGTCCGTGTGCTGCTGTCTGTGTATGCGTGTGTGTGATGCTGCTTCTTTTTTTAACATGGAGCCCGAGTCATTAATCAGGATGGGGGTGTGCGTGGGAAGAGTTCACCTTTAGCAAACTGAAGAACCCTCTCCCAGAGGAAGGGGGGGGGGGGGGGGGGGGGGGGGGGGGGAGAGACGTTAAGAGCTACAAATTAGCACATACAAAGGGACAAAACTGTCAGTGTTTTGTGTCTGTGTGCATGTGTGTATACTGTACCGTAGAGTTTTACACAAATGTGTGGATTTCTGTCCTTCCATTAAACTCTTCTTTGGATGGTTGTGGAAAGAACAGCCGTGTCCACAGGCTGTGAGACGCTGCAGTGGGCAGCTTGGTTGTATGTTCGTCTGTCCCACAGCATCACCCACGCAGCACATTATCATAGTTGTGCAAAGGGCAGTGGTCAAGGATACAGAGTGAGGAAAAACCTTTGAGAACTGATGTTCATAACAATTCTCTATTTAAAAGACTGAGCTTTCCTCTGGTCCCATTGCCACTACATCGATACCATTTAATGCCCACGCCGGCGACAGTCGTGGCTGGAGGCATTATTTTTTCTGGTTATCCTGCCTCTACATATGTCCCATTCTTGTGAACCCAATATCTCTCACTTGGAGGAAATTTCTTCAAATTTAGCACAAACAACCTCTTGGACTCCAGGACGAACTGATTATAATTTGGTAGTCAGAGGTAGAGATCACTGTGACCTCACAACACACATTTTTTGGCCATAACTCAAGAATGAAAATGCTAAATATGAAAAATTCACACAAATATAGTTAGTAGTAGTTAGGATACTATGACATTTTTATGAAACTATTTTATGGCATATTCTACTATGATTTCTTTTTACATTTTTAATGATGTACTCTATTATGACATTTTTATGCAATTATTTTATGGCATACTATTCTATGACATTGTTGTAGCTTACTATACTGTGACTTTTTCTGTAGATATACTATACATACAATTTATATGGCAAAGTATTCCATGATTTATTGGGACATCTTATGACATATTATACTATGACATTTTTATGGTAGTTTTATGACATATTTGTAGCATTTTAATAGCATATTATACCATTACATTTTTCATTGCATTTTAATGTCGTATCACACTATGCCATTTTATGGCGTTTGTATGTCATACTATACAGTTTTAAAGCATATTGACATTTTTATAGCAACTACGAGGCGGTAATTCTAATTTAGTTGTTTTTTTCTACAATCCTTTCCTTCCTTCTTCCAGGGTAAAGACCTTCTGACTCAGAAGATCCCAGTTTGGCAACAGGCTTGCTCAGACCCCAACAAGCTGCCAGAGAGGGCCATGCTTCTGGCCCAGCAGATGGGCTCAACTGCCCTTGGGGGTACAAGCCCCCTGCATACCTCCAAATCCAACTTGGTCATCTCAGACCCTATCCCCGGGGCCCAGCCTCTTCCTGTGCCCCCAGAGCTGGCTGTTTTCATGGGCAGTGGCCTGGGACACCCAGCGGTGAGTTATGGGAATAATAGGCTGATGGAGGCTAAAAAAGACGGTAACTTTAAGCCAGAGCAAATACATTTTAATTTTGCTGCTTTGCTGTGGTCTTGGATAGCACATTACAGACCAAGAATATATGGCAATTTATCCAGAAAGGTTCTTTGTTTTTGTTAAGAGAAGTGAATTACATAACTATAATGACTTCACTTCAATTTCCTCAGTGGTGCCACTGTGAAGGAGCTAAGGGTTCTCGACCTGATGTCAGCTAGTCCACCTTTGGTCCTCCATGAATGTGCAAATCAGACAAAGATCCGTCTAGTCTCACTTTAAAGATGGCACTGAGGTTTATGGACCATTTAGAGTCTTTATTTTATTTCATGACTTCGATACATTTTTACTCGACTTTTCTCCAAAGTCGACTCCAAAGTTTTGTTAGATTAGTTAATATGAATGCAACAGATGTTAATCATGACATATCATCACTTGAGCTTAATATAAATATTCTATGAAGTAATTGCTTGTTAGTATTTCACAGAAATGTTCCCAATTGTACTTATTGATCCATATATGTTGTTTATTCCAGAGGCTGATTGGCCCCGATGGTATGTCCATGGTAAATGGGACAACAGGAGTCCACGGGGAGGAGTATTGGACGGATGGTGGGACTATATCCGTGCCCCAAGTCAGGCCTTCATCCCCTCAGACCCAGGTGCCTGGCCAGTCCCAGCCTCAGCCACAGAGACAAGTCAGCGATGTCTACTCCAACACCCTCCCTGTCCGCAGGCCTGCCCCCGCCAAGAATAAGAACCCCGTGGGTAAGATATCCAAAACACTGCGAGAATTTAATGAGCATCAGTAGCACTGCAGCAAGACAATCACAAGCAGAACACCTCATGAATAGTTTAAATCATAATAAGATTATCACCTTCCAATGTCTGTTAAATTACAATGGCGGCCATTGGGATGAGAACTGCTGCTCTTCGGTGTCTCAAAGGAAGCACAGGGAATGTTCGTGTCACTGACCAATGTCCCTGTCTGCAAACATTACAGGAGAGACACGAACCCTGCCCAGGTCCAGTTCCATGGCAGCAGGCCTGGAAAAGAACGGGCGCGCTCGTGTCCAGGCCATCTTCTCCCATGCTGCAGGTGACAACGGCACCCTGCTCAGTTTCTCTGAGGGAGATGTCATCACCCTGCTAGTGCCTGAGGCCCGCGATGGCTGGCACTACGGGGAAAATGAGAAGAACAAGATGTAAGTAATGTGCTAATCTATTCAAATTTGTCTGAATCCATACTGTGAGATCGGATAAATACTTGTTACTTACTACAGTTAATGTAGACGTATAAGTTAACAAAGTGCTCCCTTTTCCTCAGGCGTGGCTGGTTCCCATTCTCCTACACGCGTGTGCTGCCTGAAAGCGACAGTGAGAAGCTCAAAGTGAAGTACGGAGCATTATTCTGTCACAAACTGTGTCGAGTTAATGAGCCCGAATGAACCCAAGTCTGAGGCCCTTTTTGTTTTCTTGCCTATCCCAGCCTCAACCATGGGAAAAGTAGCAGCACAGGGAATTTGTTGGAGAGTGATGCATCACTGCCCACACCTGACTATGGCCTGACCGCCCGACTGCTGGCACAGAGCCTAGCACAGACCCGCCCACGGCCCTACAGCATGGCAGGCTTTGGCACACAGGTTGGTGCACAGGTTGGTGCAATTTAGCATATGTAGTATCCGTTAACGACACACAAACGCTTATTTCTCTTGCTCACTTAATTTGTAGCCCTCCTCTGGTTTAGTCTTGTGTTTTGCATAATTGGATATGAGTAATGCTGCAGTAGCTGTAAAGGAGACTTTGGCTCAGTTTCTGCTGCCGCCTAGTGTTTGTATGCAAGTACAGCAAGGTAATTCAGTCCTACACAAGCACACAATGTAAAAAGTGTTACTTTTATCTTTTCAGCCTGCTATTGAGGATTATGACGGCCGCTTTGCCACAAGGTAAGTGCCTTTTCTGCCCTCTAAGTATTGACTGATGACTGCTGCTGCCATCTGGATTGTTTAACTTGGATAATTTGGATGTAGTTACTTATTAGAGAAAGACACAAGAGCCACACACTTCAGCTGAATGGCATTTCACCCGAGTTATTCTCCACAGTCAGTATGGATCCTAAAAATGACCTGCTTTTTTTTGAGTTCAGTGTTGTAAACCATTGTCCCATAATACAATGACCAGTCGCAAAACATGACTAATAGTAGGTAGTAGTGAGATAGCACAAGGAAGATCATTTTCATTTTAATAGGCACAGGCATTTCTCATATATTGCATCACTCTGAAGCACATTTATTTTTAACCAACTGCATAGAGTATTCCATGATAAATAGTATACAACAAATACTGTATACAGTTAGTGTGTGGGACACTTTGATGAACCGTACAATCACCCATATCTGAATAAGATAAGCAGTATTTGTTTGTTTGTAGAATATTTTTCCAGTATTAGTTTATTACTTAAGTCTATAAGATGTCAGAACAATGTGGCAAACTTGAATCAGCCGTCTTCAAATTACCGTCTTCAGAACCCAAATATATCCAATTTACGATAAGAAGCAAGTGGCCTGAGAATTTAGGATTTCACAATTTACTCAACAAATAACAATTATCAGCCAATTGGCAATTCATATTTATTTTGGATCGACTAATTGATTAATACACACTAATATTTCACAACTGGTGACGAATATAATTAGGCCCAAGCGATTTATATTTTTGCTGTATCGGTAAAATACCCACCTCATGAGATGTATGCACAGTGTTTCCTTCGAATATTTTTTACTGTGTCTTTTTTGTCCTTTGCTCTTGTTTACTTAACTTTAAAAAAGAAAATAGCTCTTTAAAGTAATGAATGCAGTCTAGCGGGGGTCAGAGTCTCAGTTTATAGTCAGAGTACTCTTCTTGGCACAGTATAATATCACTGTAATCAAATCCTTGCTGACTCAGGAGGGTTGTGTGTGGTTAGGATTAGGAATGATGCCATGCCTGTTTCTGTCCAATCAGGGAGTACATCTTTGTGAACGTGTATATAAGTGTGTGTGTGTGTGTGTGTAAGAGAGAGAGAGAGAAATGGCCTACGTGCACTCATATTAGTGTTTGGTGGAGTACATGTTGTGACGGTAGACATCACGCTGACCTCATCTCAGTCATCACTGCTTGTCAGTCTGGGGCTTTGGGCACCGGTGTCGAGCTGTTTTACATACTCTTGTCTGCTCTGAATGTGTTTTGTTTTTTTTCTGTATCAATATTTTGAGACAACACTGTCGTGCAGGGTGTATTCACCCCAACAGACTAATAGAACACTACATCCCTCCAGCTAAGGAGATGACTTGATTTTCTCATCAACCTTAACTTCTGGGGTTTGTCTACTTTCTTAGTGACAGACAGAGGTCAATATTCACTAAAACCGCTTAATATGGGCAGTAATATCCAACCGGCAAACATATCTGGATTTAAAAAGTGTTGATGAGGGAATTGGAAGTCCAATCTTCCTGATCACGGCAGGCGTGTTTGGCGCTGTAGGTGGGGCGACATATGTTTTCGTGACCCCCACCTACACTTCTCCAAAACTCTACTCTGCCTCCTTGTGCCTGTCTTGTCTTTCTCCATTTCTCTCTGAGTGTGTCCGACCTGGCAAGCTTCCTTCTCTCTTTGTTCCACAGTGACAGTCCTGATGGCAAATTGATTTCGACTGTGTGAGAACAGACATAAAGACAGACACAGACAGCTGCGGATAGCACAGGGGCCTCTTCCTCCCCATCTTTCCCTCCTCTTAGCCTTCCTCCTGTCCACTTATCTCCACCTCTCCTCCTCTGCCTCCACACACACCCTTTCTCCAAGTGGAAGAGGCCAGTTTCATCCCTCCTTTCTGTCCTCTCTTCCTCCTCGGGTCCCTCCTTTCCTCCTTCCGTCCATCCCGGGTGCTGCTGCTGGTGGTGTCGATGTGGACAGTAGCGGTTGGTGGGTGGAGGATTGCGTTGAGCGTGAGAGCCAGAGTGGGCCCTACCCGCTCGGCATGCAGCGATATGGACTCTGAATACTCTATCTCTGATCACAGTCCACCATCACGGACTGATCTCTCAAGAGACTGCCTTGGCTACTGCTTGTCTTTCATGCATGTACATGGTTGTGTCATTTTGTCAAACTAAAAGACATGTTCATGTACTGTACAAGTGCCAAAAGACTTCAATGTCGTTGTACTAAAGCCACTGGCCGAATGGCCTTTTTTAAGCACACGTGGGCCCAATATTATCGAGTTCCCACCCAACACACATATGCTAAAAAAAAAAAAAAAAAAGCTTTGTTTAAAGTAAGGCTGTGCAGCAGATTACTATGTTTCTGTTCTGAGAGATCCCGTAGGTCGCGCTGTGCTTCCTCGTGTCAGTGCTAGACTTGATTTTCCGTCCACAGGGTGTGTCATATTTGCCTTACTTTGCTTCTTTTGTTTTTTTCTATTAAACACAGACTTTATGTGCAATGAAGCAAATTTTGAAATTCAGCTTCTAGAATATACAGAATATATATCTACGTATATAAATTGTTTCCATCAGTCAACCAAATTGCACTGTGTTATGATCATTGCAAAACCAGTTTTCATATCAATATTCAATTAATCTTTCCAATCTCAGCCCAATTAAAAATCTGTCTTTTTTTTTGCCATTCTTGGCTGAACTTACTGCCAGAGTTGTTAGTACAAATGAAAATGCCTCACTCCAATAACCTTCAGTGTGGTCTTTTTTCTGAGGCTATTGAGTTTGGAGGGGTCTTCTGTTGAGTATTCTCAATAACAGCTGTGATTTAGTTTTTAGGTGAAATGACAACCACGGCTTTTGCAGCTCTGTGTTATTTATGATTGTATTCCCTGAGTGGCTCTGTAGTTTTTGGTCTTTTTTTTTATGATTATTATTATTGTCCTTGTAAAATAATTAATAATTTCCAGAAACAATGAGAAACTACTGATTAGTTGAAGTGTTTATCTTATGCATGCTGTGGAGGGAAACCAGAAAATGTGATACTAAAAATTGACCTTGAATGTATGGTGACTTTTTACAAAGGTATTCTAAATAAAACATATCTCTATATATTAATAAACAGTCTGGTCTGACGAGAAATCTGTTCTGTCAGTGACGCTGACATTTTCAGTTTTGTTGAACTTTTTTTTCCCTCTTGTTTTAAAGTTATGGCTGGCGAACTGATTTTATTTTATTTTTTTATTATTGTTAATATAAAAAAGGAAAAGCAGCAAATTCTCATGTAAGCAGCAACTGCCAGTGTCTGTTTTGTCCTTTCCTCTCTGCTCTTGCTTACTGAACTTTTTTTAAAATAGCTTAATTAATTAATTCAGTCTGTTCTTTCTTGTTTCAAAGTTATGGCTCTTAACTGATTTTTTTTTTTTTTTTTTTTACCCGTTAAATGTTTAAGTGAATAATTTTTTTTGCGTGACTCATTTCAGGCCACAGCTGTGTCCCAGGCATGCAGTTTATCCTTATACTTCTCCCCCGTAACACCCAAAGCATCTGTGGCGCTCTTTGTTACTGTAACAATACAAAAAAAACTTGTCGGAAAGACTTTCCGTTTGTGTGGTGGTGTTGTGTATATGTGATTTGTGAGTGTCTGAACTCTGCCTGCCTGCTTATCTTCTTCTTTTTGTTGTATTTTAGCTTGTGTGTGTGTGTGTGTGTGTGTGTGTGTGTGTGTGTGTGTGAACTGTGATGGAAATAGTAATGTACGCATTTTTAGCAGACACGCCTGCCTGTTGATTGCATTGCATTTGCAGTAAACTGTACGTCCACTAAGGCGAGCCACAGACACATTTCCTCACCTAGTTTAGGGATTTGAAAAGCAGCATCACAGTATATGGCATGTTGAGCATGAAGTGTGTACTTCAGTGTGAACCTACGGTATGTTCATCTTGCACCAGACTAACCAGCAGTGTCGTTACAAAATGTGACCCATGCATGATCTGAGCGAAGAGCCATTCAAACCCAAAGGTTCTCTTTACCTTCCAGTTTGGGTCCAGAATTGTCCCGCTTCTGAGGGAACAGGACCTCCGTAAGTCACCAGCCTCCATCGCCTCTCAGCCAATCCTTTTACTCCTTCTCTCTGTTACTCATGGTTCTCTCTCTCTCTCTCTCTCTCTCTCTCTCTCTCTGCTATCATTGGCTTTCTGGCTGCAGTAGGATGCTGGGAATTACGGGTCTTTTCTGTCCTATGGCCTCCGTGGATGTGGCAGCATTTGGTTCTGTCAGTCCAGGAGGCTTTGGGTTGTAAAAGAGCTATTTTTATGTGTGTGCATATCACAATATCAGAAAACTAACCCTGCATGCAAGCCTATAGCGAGCTGTTGTTCTTTTTTTCCTCCCACATCTAACCTGAGCTTTCTCATTACATGCTTGCTAAAACTCACCGTAGATACTGTAACTATTTGCTCAGCTTTACTGTAAGAAACAAAGCAATGGGAAGGCAGATTTCTTTGGGTGTTGTTGCATATCTGACCATGTATCCCCTCTAAATTCTGTCTATGTTCAACCTGTCCTTGTCTCACCCCTCCTCTTCCCACAGTGACCGTTCCATGGAGGTCTACCTCCGGCCCACCTTCAATGATGACCGATCTGCTCCCATCTTCTACTAGCGGCCTGCTGCCCACTTTTGTCCACTAATGGGCCCTTTTTGACGGAGAGAGAGAGAGAGAGAGAGAGAGAGAAAATGGCCAACATTGACATGTCAGTTGTATGATGTCATCACAAGAGGGCACAAGAGGTGTCGCACTACAAAGAATTAAGTTTCTTTGCCGTGGAAATTCACTCTTGAGAATTTCTAGTTAATCCTCGTGATATTTTTTGCAAATGCCTCCACAATCATTGAATGTCTCAGCCTGAACATTCAATCGCATTCAATTGTGATAGTAGATTTGATTAGTTATTTAGATCTCACCAGTTGTGGATAAGGTATGGCTAATAGGTTTTTACTAGTAATGCAGTCACAATATTATTTATTTGCACTTATGCGATGGGATTTATTTTGTCCTTCAACGCTTATACACTGTAGATTTCATTTGAGGATTATTTGCATTCATGAGCAGCGAAGGAACGGCAAAGGTTGTTTTAATGCGGCTTGAGGGTGAATAAGATTGTCGACAACAGTTCAGTGCATCACTGTAATCTGCACAGTGTGTTGATTGGATGCTGCAACAAATAGCTAGAACTGGTCAGTTGGTAAGTAAACTATGATTCTGCTTTTGTTAAATGATATAACATAGTGATATATTTACTAGTTGTGATACAGTATACCCATATTTTAAATGTGGGAACTGTGCCTTCTAATTTTTTTTTTTTTTTTTTTTTTTTTTTTTTTTTTTAATATGTATTTCATGCAGCATTGACCCAATCATTATGTAAACTGGTTTGAGGGCTTATGCATCACAGTTCAATTAGGTTTTTTTTAATATTCCTTAAAGTAAAAGTGGGGTTATTTCTGTTTTTGTTTTGCTTGTAATGTCAGAATTTTTTTTTTTTTGCTTAGCAATCTCCTGCACAGTGCGATTTCACTGAAATACAAGAATATTTCAGTAATGTGTTGTCAGATATCCAAGAGATGAACTACACTGCATGCTCTTTTTAAAAAATATATATATTTAGCTTTGAGGGAGTGGTAGCTTATCAGATAAGGTACAGTATTATCATAGCTTTTGATCGTTCATTCTCCGTATTATACACTTGTTGGGAGAAAAGCTTAGATCAGAGGCATTTATCTAGTGTTAGGGTAGAAGCGGAGCTGTATGCGATTAAAAGAAAACAAAAAAAGAAAAATAGTGTGAACGTGTTAAAATGCCTCTGAGACTGCATGAAATCAAGTTCCATCATGAAAAGTCAATTTTCCATGGATGAGTCCTTTACACTGAGTGATATGATCAGGCTTTTATTACACGGCTCATTTGGGCAGCAAGTTTCAAATCAGTTTTTTTTTTTTTTTTTTTTTTTTTTTTTACACTTTTATATAGCTTTCATTGTCCATTTCTCACTTTTGTCCCCGTTTGTATTATATCCGTACTGTACAGAAAGTGCATAAATTATCTTGTCCAAAATAAATCTGAATGGGCAGAAACTTCACACTTTCATGTGTCGTGTTTTCATGTGGTCTTGTTTTGTAGGAAAGTGCACCTCTTCGACATCGATGCAGATAAATGTATCACAGACACACAAAGGGGAAAAAGTATTTGGATTTATTTGTTTGGGATAGTACAATAGCAATGAGTGAGGGGGAAAATGGAAAGAGCAACGATGTTACTACCGGTGCACACAGCAACCCACCTCACCTTCTCCAAAGGTGTCTGCCACTTTAGCCAATAGGCCTTGTAATATCTCCGGCAAATTTTAAGAGACAATCATCCTGGATTGCATCTTTTTCAAATTCGTATAAAAATACTAGCAACGTTTTCTCTTCTTGCAGAAATGAAAAGGCAAGGTTGAGAGGAAACTGAATTGACACTTTGAGCTACAGAAGGATAGAGAAGGGGAGGGAGCAGTCGATACAGCAGTAGTAATTCAAGTCAAGCTACCTGCTACATGTTGGTAAAACATTCATACAATATGTGAGATGTCATATTTTGAAGTTGTTTTTTTTTTCTACACCCGGGCATTCAGCACAAATCTAATAGAATACATTATGTATGACACTGTGGACAATACATGGATGTAGAAAAGATGCATGATGACATATTGATATGACACCGCTCGGTAGTGTTGAAACACTATCCCTTCGGTGTCACTATTGCTGATGAAATGTCACATAAACAAAGCTAATATGCCACAAATAAAGTGAAACTGTAGCTGGCACTGTGGACACAAATAAGGAACCTCACACGTTTAGATATTTTCATTCCAGGATAGAGGGAGAGGGGGGTGGATGAAGAGCAACAGAACCACAACTTCCACAATAAAAGACCCAGTTTGGCTATACAAAGTGCTTCAGACAGATATGATAACTCTAGACATATACTGTAGGTCATCATTAATCAGAGTGAGTGTTGGTGATAATTAGGGAGTGACAACTTGATTTCCTGCATCATATTTCCATAGCATAGCGAATCCACCATCAATATGATTTGGATTAAGGGACTAAATAAGTTCCTGTACCTCCATTCTACAAACACCCTCACCACCACCACCGCCCACGGCTATTATAAAGTCTGGTTTTGTGTTTAGAAATCGACAATAGCAACAATTATTGAGCATTGTTCTCTGGGGCCAACAATGAGGGCTGAAACAGTCTTTAAAAATGCCAGAGAAATGTTGAGCGGGTGGACCATGGCAGCCAATGAGAGGAGCAGTTATGAAGCCTGTCATTTCCTTTAATTCACCTGTTATTTTCTTTTAAGTTAACTAATTTAGCTGTAAGGTCACCAACAGAAATCGAGATATACTGTATATTAACTAATAAACTTGTAGATTTTAATTCTGCAAACAATACAATGTGAATTGTATCCACCGGCTTGGTTGTCTCACTCAGGTTACCGCACCAGCAGCTATCCCTTTTGCCACAAAATAAAAAAGGTGCCAAATAATCGTGTTTTTTTTCCCACTACAATATGAGGCACTGTCTCATAAAGGGTCACCAGGGTCAGATGCCCCAAATGTTGATAAAAAATAAAACTCTGTAAAACATTTAAATATAATAATGCTGCTTTTCTGTGTTGAGAAGGACCAGGATTCATCCTCGTCCACTCAGGACCGTGGGGCCAATCAATCTTTTGGGCCATCTTCTCTGTTACCTGTTGAAAATCAAAGATTGGAAATAAGTATGGAAGCTTCCATTGCAACATCCCATTATATACACACAGAAATGGAACTATGCACAAAATTCCGAAAACTTGATGCGCATGTATCAACAAATATAATCAACACTGCTAAGCTACTAAAAAATGTGTCATTGTTTTTACTCAAAAATAAATTCTAAATCAGGATTCATGTACAGATTCATGTAAAGACAAGGTGGCGCCAACATAAAACCCCCCGAAAAAAAGTTTCCCTTTTAGTTAATGAGGGTTTCTGTGATTTACAGGGCTCATATGCTGTAGCAACAAAAAACGAGCATTTATTACTTTATTAGATGATTGTGAATTTAAGATTAGAGAGAGTTTCAACATTATACAACAGTCCCAACTGTGTATAAAAGACAGTTAATACAGACCTGTAGCTGAGCCCATGTGGGGGTCGGAGACATGTGTGATAGAGAATCGGGAGACCATAAACCGGTTAAGCGCTACAGCTGCAGGTTTCGGAGCCTCGGGACGGTTGGAGGGGGATGTGGGTGAGGACGGGGGCTCGGGGATGGTTTTAGGTGAGGATGAATGCGGCTCTAACAAGAGTTCATCTTCCCATTCATAACCCGCACCTGAATGCACACAGACAAGTCACAATTGGAGTTATTGTAAACAATCTGAGAAACATCAACTAGGATAACTCTGCGTAGCTTTTTGTGTCCTTGACAAACTCACCCTTCTCTGAGTTGTTCCCATCTGTTTCTTCAGAAACACAAAAGGGTTCACAGGATCGAGCTTCAAGTTCAGGGTCAGGTTGCAGCTGGTGGTCAGCGTTTTTTTCCCCCGAAGATTCCTGTCCATTGGACTCTGTTCCAGTGGGGAAGGCGTAATCTGCCAGCTCTCCCGTAGGGCTCTCCTAGAAGACATGAACATAAACATCCCCCTCATTCTCTAAAGCAATAAAGCAATCCTAAATATACAACACACATTGAACATCTTTGACCTATTAAGGTGTCATACCTGATCAAAAAGGAACACCGTCACATCATCAAAAAAGGACACCGCTTTCTTCTTCCTCTCCAGCTCGTCACAGAAGGACTGGGTGAGCAATGTGGGCATCTTCAGGAGACTGCGGAGGTGTCTAGCCCTGCTGCAGTCGCTTACCACCACTGGCACCGGGGTGAAATCCTCCTCACTCTCCTCGCTGTCTTCATCTTGGATGTTATAAGTCCTCAACTCTTCATCAGACTCGCTGTCATCTGAATCATCTTCCTCCTCGGCCTCTTCCAGCGGCGCTCTCACATCTTCTCCGCACAGCTCCAACAATGACGAGGAAGAGGACAGGTCGACAGCGCCGTTAGATTCCTCACATAAGCTGTCCTGTGAGTCGCATTCCCCCGCGTCTATGTCCTCAAAATCCTCCTCGTTTATTCTCGCACCCTCCCTTCTGTCCTCCGTCTCTTCCTGGACGTGATTGAATTCGGGCAGCTCATCCTCTGTGGATCCATCACCACTTTCCTTTTTGTTGGGGGCCTCATCTCTGTAGTCAGTTATGGTGGAGTCAGAATTCAAAGACTGGACAGGAGAATAATCTTCTGTTCTCCTGTTCCCCTGGTTATGGTTTCCTGAGGCCTCCTGGGCAGTGGAAGAGGCGTCAGACCCAATGGAGGAGCTAAGCTCTGAGGAAGGTTCCTCTCCTGAGTGCTCCGTCAACCCAAGATCATCATCTGCAGGGGCAGACTCTTTAGTCAGGCAGCCACCCATCTGTGGAGGAAACGGTGATAGCATGGACAACCCAGGGGTGGGGAGGGGATTGTTTGAGCCAAGGTCAGCCTCTGAGTGATTCACCAAAACACAACTTTTGATGTGTCTTAGATTTGTTAAATGTTTCTCGTTTAATTGCCTTTTCACAATATCATCATCTTTGATGGTGCTCAATTTCTCAGTATGAAAGTCACCGTTACTTGGACCTGAAAAGAACTTACTGCCTTCCTCTTGAGGGCTCCTCTCATTTTCAGCATCATAGTCTGAGAAATAGGCTGAATCCCTGTATGCATTCTTGTCAGTCAGGCTCTTTAACTGTAGCTCTGAGGTGCAGACCCCTTGTCCCAAACCCACCTGCAGAACTAGTTCTGCTTCTCCCCCCAGCCTAGGGCTCCTCTCACCACACCGGGGATCTCCAAGCTCTTTGAAGAGAAACTCTGGAGATTCATTGTTCTCTGTGTCATAGCCACTGTCCAGGGATTTGGGTAGGACAGGAGTATTGAAGGGATCGGGGCTGAAGGCCTGATTACTTGCCATCGATGAGGACAGGTTAAGGGTGTCTACAGAGTCAGGAGTTCCCTCCGGATGCTTTAATGGGCTGAGCTCTTCCTCCTCTATCTCAGCATAGTCCAGGTTGAAGTCGGCAAAGATCCCCGATGTAATATCTGTGATGTCATCATCATCATCCTCACTAAAGTCACCAAGCTCAACCAGGCTAATGCTGTAGTGTCTGACCCCCACTCCACTGTCCAATCCTCTGCTACTTTCTGATGTATCTGGATAGTTTAGCCTCTTGTCTCCATGACCAACAGGGATTCCTGTTGAAACCCCCTCCCACATGTTACCTTGCCGCTTGTCTGACAAGGCTCCTGTTTGGCCAGTCTGAGCCTCCTTGAAAGAGGATGGAGACTTTATATAACTTGGCTCAGGTATCATCTTAGGCTCAGAGTACAATCTCTCTCCCTTAGGCAACAACTGCTTTTCATATTGTCCCTCCATTGTTCGACCCCCTGCACTTCTGGCATTAATACTTGAGCTGGTAAGAGAATATATACTTCTTAGATGTTCTGCAGTTAAGTTATTTTCTGCTTGAGTGGCAGCCTCCTCTTTTTCCTTGTGACATAAGTGAATGTATGAACCTAATTCACTGGGCTTGCTAGCAGCGTTACAACCAGAGTCTCCTCCTTCTGCCTCGAAGGTGCCACAAAACCTGGAGCTGTGGAAGGTTCTTGTGGTGGCCTTGGTTAAAGACCATAATTCTGTTGCGTTAGAGTGAGCAGTATATTGAAGGTCCAGATAGCTGTCATGCCCACTGCCTGTCTGCCTGCCGTCAAAGCTCAGGCTATTATTGTTTGCTGAATGGTTTGAGGTCCAGTTAGTGGCCTCTCCTTCAGAGAAAAGGTCATCCTCGATGTCGTCGCCTCTCTGCTGGCCCACCAGCAGGCCGTCGTCGGTCTCGACATCGATGCTAATGTGGTTAACAATGGGTAGTGTCTTTCTGAGGGGACCCATCATATTATGGCAGCTTTCATTCACCATGCTCCGGCCTGTGCCTGCTTCAAGGTAGGGATCACAGAACCCTAAGCTTGGGCTGCTGACTGCTTGTGACAAACTGCGCGGGTTTTCTAAACGCCCAACTGGATGGACAAGGTTTGATCTGGAATCTGGCGATGTATCCAGTACAGACAGACAGGGTTGCCGGGCCTTGTATGCCGATGACTGTTCACAGTAGATCGTGTCATCTTGACTGGATGAGAAGCAGTTGTGCGAGTGGCGTAGCTTTACAGGGCTGGTGCTGGATGGCCGTCTCAGCAGTGGTTCCATGTTTAGTTGGACGGTGGGGCTTGAATCAGAGTCATAGGCAGAAGATCTGTTGTTGTCAGTTGACCAGTAAGCACTGGGCTGTGCCATGGATTGACCAGTCCGACTCTCAGAGGACAACCTGCTGCTGCTGGCCTCCAGTCCTGGGCTGTAGTCCACCACGCTGTCATCCAGGTTAATGTTACACTCCATTGGTTCCTCTATGCGAATGTAATACTCGCTGCTGACCGAGGGGCTGTGGGCACTCAATACTGGGACTACACCAGGGTGTTCAGGTTCATAGTAGGATGGGGATAGGCCCGATGTCGGGCTGTCAGTCTTGCAACCCCCTGAGGTGCTTCCTTTAATTGAATAGTAGATATCCTGGTAATATGGGTTCCCCTGGCCCAGTGCCCCACTGGTGGAGGAGGAGCAGTAAGGCTGCTCAGCTCGGGCCTGCTCCCATTTGTACTCAAAGTTGAGACCATGGCTGGTCTCTGTGACGGTCAGCAGGTCATCCCCTGTGTCGGAGTGGAAGCTGTCAGAGAAGTGCTCCAGGAGGGGGAAGGAGGACGAGGCAGAGGAGGCCAGCTCCAATGCCTGTGTTTGGTCTGGACTGGGGACGTCAGCTGAGGCAGGTGTAGGGGTCAGGACTAGGTTTGTGGATGCAGCTGTGTGGGAGGTGCTGCTGAACAGATTGGGTCTCAAGGCGTTCCAACGTTGTTCAAAGTCTTCCTCAGCCTCACACGAGCCTTTGGCACACAAGTATGTGACCAGAAGGTGGACTTCCTCGCTGCTAGGTCTCAGCTCCGGCTGTAGCCAGCAGAACTGCATCACCTCGTACCTGGACAGAAAGAGAAGAACAAAATCGGGGGCAAAAGAGATTACGTGTTATAATTGTGTTACTGTCGATACTTCTGCAGCTAATAAGATCTTATTGATATATATACTTTTTTACATAAGGAGAGAAATAGGAAAAAGTAAAACAATTGATCCTAGACTCACATCAAGGCGATATAAAATAAACTTTTGAAGTCAGCACTTTCTAGCAACACATAGTACTTGTTCCAGACATATAGAGTATATGACGGAGGTGCAGTGCAGATGCTGACATAGTTAAAAGATGTTTACTTTCCTCCTTGGAGCCTCCTCAGTGGAGCGCATTTAATTTAGTGAAGAACAATTTTGAAAATAAATAAATAAGTATAATATTTGGCTGGCTGCCCAGATAAAGATGAATGAGGTGATTTTACTCCGGTCGATGCCAAGGGGGGATCATAAAGAATAGGAGAAGTATTGATCATCTGCCCTTGCTAGCAAAGAGAATTATTGCTAAGGTGGACCGGTGCACCACTAAAAGCAGAACCCTATTTCAAAAACAAGACACATTGACTTGTTGAAAATGAATTGGCCAGCAAGACCTGAAGGCTTTGTAATGTCTAAAATGTATGTGGAATCAAGATATATAAGAGTCACCCTGTACATGTGTGGGCATGCAACTATGTCTCACCAGCGCTCAGCCAGGGGGAACTGGAGCAGGGGTTTGGGTAGTTTGAGCTGCTGTTCCTTCACAGCATATGTCAGCACCTGTCTGTCAGAGTAGTGTCTGTACGGCTGGTTTCCCAGCTCAAACAGCTCCCACACAGTCACCCCCAATGACCTGGAACGAGCGAAGAAACCATTAAGTGCACTCACTCATATCTCAGATATGGCCATGTTCCAAACAAGCTGTAACCGTTTTGATGTTATGTCACGAGAATATTTGTGCTGTACACACATTTCCCAAAGAGTTTCACAATAAAAGCAGAGGACAAAGCACAGGAAAACATCATAAGCTGAGCATCCAAAGTAACATTCTAGCAATAAAATAGGCATTAAATCAAAGTAAGAGCATTTCATTCCAATTTTTATATACAGAAAGAAAAAGATCTGCGTTAAACCATTTCTATACTATGATAAAAGATTGATGTCGGTATGGTAGTGTTATCTCACCATATGTTGCTGGACTTTGTTTGGTCAACGACCAGCAGGTTTCCGTGGACTTCGTCTATGAGCTCAGGTGCAATCCAGCGCAGGGGCACCCACATCTGGTCTTGTGTTACATAATAGTCATCCTATTAAAAACAACAATGACAAAAAAAAATACATGTTGGAGTACTAACAGGGTGAAAAAGTAAAAAGCAGTCAAAAAAAATGACATCGAAATACAGTCTGACCTTGTATCGGCTGTGAGAAAGGCCATAGTCTCCGATCTTAACTGACATTTCTGAAGTTAGCAGGCAGTTTCGCAAGGCCAAGTCACTGTCAAAACAAAAGAAAGTCGGAGCTGCATAAACATATTTATTGATCTTCTTTAAAGACCCTGAACAACTTTTGTAATTTCAATCACAAGTTAGAACAGTTTTTTTACTTTTTAATCCTCTTTTGTTTTGTCTCTGAACACCACACTGGTTTTAAGTTGGCGGGACTCCGTTGGAAAACATGTTGTTGATGAATATTTTAAATGAATGTCTCCGCAGCATCATGATGATCCGATGTAGCCACAGTATTAATTCAATCACATCATGAAATGTGTACATGTAAAGCATCATGTACTATTTCTTCTCACCTGACTGTGTAAAGAACCGCACTAAACAAAGTCACGTTGTTTAATCTCAACTCCTCCTGAAACACTGAGATCTTTCGTCTGGCAGCCACTGATTAGTTGCTATGGCAGCCAAACACATGGCTGCGAGAGAGCGATAGGGGCTCGCCCCCCGCAACAAAATCACTGATGCTGGAGTTTGTGACAAGTACTCAGGCAGCACCAGGATGTTGTTGCAGGGAGAGACCAGCAGGTGGTGCGCAGAGCATTTGGGTTCCTTTCCGGTGCATTAAGGATTCAAGTTGATGTTGGTAAATAGAGCTAGACTGACTGACATACTGTACCTGTGTATAAAGTTGTATTTTTGGAGTTGCAGAAGCCCTGAGGCAATGTCACACGCCATTCGCTGGAGGATCAAAGGGTCAGGAGTCTCGGAGTCGGCCACCCGACAGCTGCGCAGATAGCTCTTCAGATCGCCCTGAGAGGAGAAAGGACATGAGGTTGGAAGCTGTATGAATAATCCAAACAAAACGGTACCAAGAAAGAAAATAATTAATTTGATCATTAAAGTGTGTCCCACCAGAGGGCAAAACTCCATGACCAGCAGATAAGGAGTGACCTCTGAGCACTGTGCCAGGCACTGCAGGAGGGCAGGGTGCTGGAGGGTTCTGGTGGAGGAAACAGGGTTTGAGTTTGAGTGCACAACGACCGTACATACAATAAATAAATCTTTAATTTAAGTTGTTTCATTGCTATGTCGTGCTACTCATGCTCTGAAGGGCTGTGCTGAGTGACCGCTGATGTTTCAGTGAACTGACCGGTATGGCTGCGCCTCCTCCAAGAACTGCATCTGATCCTGGACACTGGCACTGGCTTTCAGCTCCTTTACAACCACCTGGGTGGTGCTGAGGCCCGCATTGACCTCACCCAGCAGAACCTGGGAAGTATACACAAGTACGTTGTTGCCAAACTCTAGGACTGCAGACTGTGATTAATGAGACAGCATCACTATGGAGTTACAAAGTGAGAAAAAAAACAACAAATAAGATTGGTTCATGAGCAAATCTAAGTGTAACAGCAGCACATACTGTGCAGTAAATAGTGAGGAATTTACTGTGACTGTGAATTTCAACTTCCCTCCTTAACACATGTGCCAAAGATTAGCTTTGCTAGAATGAGATCATCATCATCTCATTACAATCGCATTCCTCACAGAGTAGAAAGCACATTGGAGTACAGTACGAGTACAGTAAAGAGGCATTTGAAGGCAAGTAATAATTAGTACAAAGATGGTGTCTACCGACACAAAAACACTGTGTGATTGAGTGTGTTTTAGGAACAAAAAAAATATCTTTTTCACCTTGCCAAACCACCCATGTCCAATCTCCTTTAGATAGAGTAGACTATGGCGGCCAAGGTCTGATGATTTCAGCAGCTGGACTGGAAAGGAACAGTAAGAAAGACAGAAGATTACTTTTAAACAGGAATAAAAAAAGACTGTTGTAGTTGGAAAGAAGAGAAGAAAGTTCTTCAATGAGTAAAGTCAATAAAACAAAGAGGGGCACAGAGAAAAAAATACAAATTCCTCTCAGCCCAAAAAATGAATGTACATTTTCCTGAATAAAACTGAAGAAGACAGAGTTCCTGATTGCAAATAAACCCAACTTTCTAGCTACGTTAAATAAGTATCTACAAGAACAAAGAAACTTTAAGCCAGCGAGTCGTGCGCAAATTGAAATACCTCCATGGATCCTCATATTTCAAGAGTGAAGATGACGATGGTGAGTCGAAAGACGAAGGTGGAGCGGCCAGCCACTCTGAGCACCGGGACCAGGGACAGAGTCGGAGTCCCAAGCAGGGATGAAGTACTGGTCCAGAGTGTGAGAACCGAGAGCCTGTGACCCCAACCCCAGGCCTCTTAGCCTCATTGTGTGTATTTGAGAAAGAGCCCCCGGTCGCAGTATGTGTGTGAGAGAGCCTCGGCAGTATTTAACCCTCCGAGCCCTCGCACAGCTGAACAAGCTCGCCACGCTGCCTCTCCCGGTCTGCACCGAACTCATCCTCCAACTGGGACACACGAAAACACACATACTGTACTGTCCTCGTCTAGAGCTCTCCAGCTGTCCAGCAAACAAGGAAAACCTGGATTCCCATACAGACTACATTAAAAAGTACAGAAAGCTGAGCAAGATAGAAACGTATCACAGCTTCGAGTCAGAGGACTGATCTGCAGACGGTGGAGGATTTCTGCCCTGGGCGCTGAGATTTTCTGGTCATGTATCACGCCTGATGTGACCGTCACGCATGTTAGTAGTGTGCCGACTGACGCGCCAGCTCTGTGTGCAGCTTCAAGACACCCAGTAGTGACATAAGGCCCACATAATGCCCCCTGTCACCCAGGACAGCAGCATTCCTCAGCCAAACAGGACACAAACACTGCTCTGTCAGATGCAGAAAAGACCTCTGTCATACACACTCACCACCCCTATCTCAAGCCTCCCCTCCCCGCTCTTAGGTCCTGGTGCATGCCACCACCCTTCCCCTGCCTCTCCTCATTCTGTCACAGACCCCTCACTGTATTCTACCCATAATGCCAGTCCTCCACTGGTGCGTTCCATGGACGTTTTAGCCCGGCCTTATGCTCACCCACTGCCCAGCCGGCCTAAATCAGGGCCATTGTTTGGCTCGCTCGCTCACACACTCATGTTGCGTCTCCTGGTACCCAGTGGACCAAACACACACACACACACACACACACACACACACACACACACACAGGCACGCAAACACTCATGTGGAGACACACACACACAAGGCCCTTTCTCCAGTGGAACGCTGGGCAGAGGTTGTCACGATGATAACAGACCCACACTTCTACACACCAAACCCCCCCCCCGAGCCTCTACCACCCCTCCCTGACCGAGAAAAAATTAAAAAGTGGTATTATTCCGAATGTGGAATGTGTGAGCGTGAGTGTGCATTCCCGTCCTACACGTGGCATTTCCGGAGAAGATGGTGGGGTGGAGTGAGTCTGTGGGATCGGTGGGCCCACGGAATGATACACACACACACACAATCGCTTCACACACTCACTTTGATGCATCGAGTCTCTGTAGTGGGTTGGAATGAAAAGCAGGACTGTCAGATCAATGGCAAACGTTGTACTGCGTGTTCATACAGATGCATAAGTGATATAGAACACGCCATTCATGGTAAGCATATAAACTAAACAACTTGTGTTTCTGCTCAACATGTAATAGGCAACTCATTTTCTCTGTGTACGTCGGTGTGGGGGAGGATAACATTTGACATGTGCATAATGTTAATATGGGGGAGCCTGCTCACTCTTCAACTTGCAGTTTATTGTAGGAACTGAAATATGATAATCCTGCCATTTCCTATCTATCTTTTTACATTTTTGCATGCCTGATAATTTGTCAGATATTACCAAAGCAATGGAGAGGCTGCAAAAAAAATATACTTTCCAATGCACAATTTGTACATGTAAAAATTGTATATAATAGGAACAACATGTCTTTACATACGAAAGGGGGAATGAGTAAGGGGCATTCTCGTCTCGTTTCACCATCTATCCATTCCTCGCCCTGCAACACCTGGTCCAATCATACAGCGGTAGCTATGGAGGACAGAGGGGAGGTTCGTGATTGGCTGCAAGCCTGAGGCTGCCTTGCCCAATCATTGCTGGAGCTCACATCCTGGGATGCTGAGCCCCGACTCACCTCCCTTCTGGCTGAGCACAGTGCAGCGCAGACAGCCGGTGAGTCATGCAGGGAGAGGCACCCAGGATCTGGCTTACACAGACATTCAAACACACACACACTGCACACACACATGCGCATGTTAACAGACTGGGATGGAGGCAGAATGACCTGAAGAAAAACAATCTGTGACGCTGCTGAGGAGGATCATGTAAGATTCAAATAAAATAGTAGATTCATTTTATTGTAAAGTAGTATATATTTAAGAACTTGCATAGAACCCAATAAATAATATCAGATTCCTTTCTCTCCAGTGAGATGCAGTTTTCACATACAGCATGTAGGGTGATTTCTAAATACATTACACAATGTACAGATGTCTCTCACTGATTGAGAGAGAGGACAAGAAAGAAGGGACATAAAATAAAAGATAACAACTGAAAAAGGCCATTTCACATCTATAGAGCCAATAAGATGTTACATAACTCATTTGGTACTGTGCTCCAGAGAGGGAACAACCTTTTCAATAGTCTATTACGGTGGCAGAAATTCACTCTTTCTAAAGAGCAGGGAATTAATAATGCCTATGGAGATATGCAATACAGAAAACAGAGAAGATGAAAGGAAGAAATGAGAAACACCAGGAAGCAAAAATTAAACTTAAAAGACAGGTCATTAAAAGTCCAAACAGATATAACTTAGAGGTGTATGTGTTGAAGGTATTGTGTAGTTTCTTACTGGATCTGCCAGGCTGTTTGGAGACAGGCAAGGAGACCTCAGTGAGGGGAAGGATGTAGACCTCAGGGCCATTCTGGGAGGAAGGCGAGGCCAGAGCGGAGAGATCTGCCTGGTACTCCCCTCCCTCAGTGTTTTCAAACTCCTGGTGCAAAGAGACATGCTGTAATTAGTCATCCACTCGCAGCCATCCTACCACTGAGATAGTGGGAGACAATGGTTCAACTGTGAGGGCATTCAAATGCATTGAGGCACGCCCACCGAGTTATATACATAAGTCATGTACGTTGTGGGGTGTATTGTGTGGGTCAGGACAAAGACGCTATAGGGGGAACATGTAAATGTGTGTGTTCAAACTGCATACACAAAGAGTATCTTTCTTTCACTCCGTCTTTTCTTTCTTTCATTACATTACAGTCATTTAGCAGACGCTTTTATCCAAAGCGACTTACAATTCAGATCCTATCACATTTCTACACCGTAGGCACAGCAATTTTGGGGTTAAGTGTCTTGCTCGAGGACACATCGACATGCAACTAGTGGATCCGGAGCCGGCATCGAACTGCCGATCCTCTGGTTGAAGGGCGGCCCGGCTCTCCACTTAGCTACAGTTCTTCCACATATACACTCACAAAACGAGGTCCCTATCATGAAAAAATACTAATTGGCATGTCAAAGACAAGAGGTTATTCCACATAAAGAGTTTCTAGTTTCTGTGATTATTTTTTAATGGAGTAAAAGGTACATTTTGGCATTTATTTTAACCCATGAAGACTTGTTCTCTAGGATGTTTTAGTTTAGTAGAGAGGAAACACCGGTGTTGGGAGTATCATGATTTAAACCGTGCATCTGCCATAAACACTGGTCTTTTAACCGAAGATTGACCTCCCTACTCGGATGGATGAGGATGACAGGAAGTGGAAAACAGTGACCCTCTCTCTTTCCATCCCTGTAACAAACACCATATCCCACATCCTCTGTCTGTTTTTCATACCTACTACTCTTCTTTCTGCCCCCGTCCGTTGTTGATCCCCAGTCTACTGCAGTGTCCTTCCTCTCTATTTCTGTAGTGTGTCCCTATAGAAACCCCCATACAGTATGTATTCAAAGTGCTGACGTACCACATAGGAAGGGGACATATTTGATACTTTGCACATACCTGCTAGAAAAAAAAGCTTGCATTGTCCTTTACATAGTCTTTCCTTTCCCAACTCCAAATGTAGCTTCAAAACCTGACTTCACTCTGGGAAGTAGCCATTATTTAGTACATAAACAACCTTCCGGCTATAAATGCTAAGGAAAAAACAGCAGAATAGTGGAAGATACGCAGCCAAAGGAAACATATTGTCAGGGTGGGTCAAGATTTTTAAGTGTGAACATCTCCATGAGCTCAAATGAGTGCAAAGCCTCCGTACAGCCACACAGGTGTTTTCAATCAATCTGATTGATTAGACCTCTCCTCAGGACTGTGTGTGGGCCTGTATATACGCTGACATCTGTCTGAGCCTCCTGTTGAACCTGTTAAGGCGGGACAAATTACACCTCTATCATTCTTATTGGTAGATAATAAACTCCCATCAAAGCTCCAGCCCGGCTTCAACCTGAGTAGAATTGTAATCAGCCAGAACAACTGAACAACTGGCTGTGCAGAGGCTTTCTTAAAGAGTCTGACGTGTCCAATTGTAATTTCATTATTGTTACAGATTCATACTTTTTATGATTTTTTAATTCTTCTATTTGGAAACAATGCAACTGTTGATCAGCAAATGCACTGGTCCCAGTGTAAACCTAAAAAAAACGAACTTACTCCACTCACTCTGGGCTGAGTAAGGTTGAATTGTGTTAATTTGGATCCCGGTATTTTCCGGGAAGTTTTATCAAAATTGTACTTTTTCCCTTGAAGGGATCCAATTGGAACCCCACATATGTGGGCTTGTGCTCTGTTCCTCAAACTGCTGAACAACACACTGTTAATGTGACAGATTTGTCTTTGCAATTATACCTCAGGTCAGCACTAACGACGGTCATACACTTGAATGAGTGATTGAGTTTGCTGCGGTTATAATGATTTCCTTGTCCGAATCATTTTTCAGGTCATAGCAGACATACAAAGTCGCCTCTTGATGATATCCTGAACATGTAGACTGTAGCTATATTGGGGAAAACAGGCTAGCAATAGTGCTTTGTTCACAAGCACTGAGCAATTCACCCATCCATCCATCTGCTGGTTAATGAACTGTTACCCATAAAAAGCCTATCTCCCGCATGCAGCAACCGCAGAGGTGGAAAAGGAGAAAATCGTGAAGAGAAAACTGCAGGAAATGAGAAAGGAGGAGAGCAGGTTGCAAGATGGACAAATACGAAATATTTGAATGCCTCATTGTGTGTGTGTTTACAGGTCTCCCAAAACATCAGCGTGGGTGTGTATGTATGCATGTACAGGAATGTGTGTTTCTCATTCAAGAGAACCATCTGCCGCTCTCAGAGCGAAGTGTGAAAGCGAGCACCTGGCTGTGAGTCAGCGTTGCATAGCTCCCGGGAGGGCCTTCAGTTTAGAAAGCACTTAATACCCAGCCTCACACACTACGCGCTCCGGTAAGAGCACCGCGATGGAGAGGAATAATGGAGCTTTTTGGACGGCGCAGCGGTGCGAATTTGCAGTCCCACACGAATGCACACCTTTTACAAGTGAGCTGTTGAGAGACGATCCGGTGCCAAAGAGAAGGGGAGAACAGTGGGGAACCATTATGGGATGTTTGCTGCCAAACTAAAAGGGAAAGATGAAGATTTGATAGTTTGTCTTAACTTAAAATTATAATGCACGATGATCAAGACTACAAGCATAGTTTGTATTCACTAAAGTCACAATGTGCTGTGTACTACGTTAGCATACATTTTAGCACATTTTAAATTCAAACTGCCTGAGAGCTGAAAGTTGTGCTGCACTGACAGAAGTTTCTTTGTTAGTAACCACAATGTGCTTTCTTGTTATCATAATCCTTTCATTGCCATTTTCTCAAATGTCCACCACGCTTATTATTATGTCATCAATGACCTTTGAGTCAAATCTCAGTAAAGCTGCATGGAGCTCAATGAATGCTGTTACTCTCCAACTACCCTTTTGTACAACGTATGCATAACGTTGAGAGGAGAAGAGGACAGTGAGCTAATGAACATAAAGGAAGGGATCGTGTGCCTGCTTACTTTGTCCAATGAATTTAGGAATGGCTTGGCAAGATGCAGAGTGATGATTTTGAACAACAACTGTATTATATGTGCTAAAACAACATAGCTAGGAAGGCATAGTGGTTTGTAACCGTCACTTTGCCCGGCTGAAGTGTCCATGCGAAAGATGTTTTCTTCAGCTCGAAGGCAGCTGTACTGTAGCTACACTTTGACCAGTAACTCTCTGATGACACAGTACTATAAAACAACAATGAGTCAACTATTGCCGTTTTAGCAGCTAGAGCCATCCTTCCGTCATTAGTCTTTTCACAGTAAAACGCAGGCCAATGGAAAGCAGACACAGACTTCAACTGTTCCTGCAGGTTATTAAGATACATGTTCACATGTACGTAGTGAGGCAGAAGGGATCTGGCGTGGGAGAGACAAATGTGGGCACACACACGCATAAAAATAAAGTCCAGAAGTTAATAATGGTGCATCTCTGTGCTGTGCTCATTAGTGACACTATCATCCCTGCAGCGTCTACCTACCGCAGGCTGTTCAGTGTGAATGCTGAAGCACAGACCTGACTCACCCACATACATAAACAAGAAACAAGCTGCTCTGCTCTCATCCTCTCCAATCAACAACAAAAAGGTAAATATGGAATTCATTCCCTCGATTCCTAGCCCTAGAAGTCATGCAAGGAATTAGGTGACAATATTGTGAATTCAGAATTGCCAAATGATTGGCGTAAGTGATCTTAACAAAAGGCTGTTCAGCCGGGGCTGTACTTTATCTCTCATCCCCCTAAAATAGTTCAACATTAATTTGCACGACTAAAATGAAAAATGTGTTTTGATGCCAGTGCTATAATAGGAGCAGCAAGTTAATGAGGAAACTTTTAAAGACAAGGAGCAGCCACTACAGCGACTTTAGGGTTTCTCCTGCCTCTCCCCCTCCACATGCCCCCCTGCCTGTGTCAGTCTTCATTAGCCCTCAGCCTTCGCAGTTCAGCGCTGATGTTTGACACAGCATGGCTGAGTCATGCTGACAGCTGAAGGCAACACAGAGATTCGGTACGGGTACTTTCCTGGTTGCATCACTTGCATACAATGAGGCATTAATCCTCAGCAAAAGACTTTAGCATTAACAGTAAATGCAGGGTTAGGGAGTTGTATCGATCATGATCCTTCCATCTCCTGAGAATGAGATCTAACTTAAAATATTAACACTGTACCAAATGTTTTTTCAAATTGCCACTCAACTTGCCACAATTAAATTAAAGCTGAAATCAATTGGGCCATTTTTACAGCAGACATTTGGACGTGTTTAATGGCACATTAAAGAGGTTGAATGGCAGTTTATAAAATGTATTTAAGGGTTTGGGATGCTTTTCTCGTGTTTGTACAGTGTGTGTTAGTACTAGTAATACAAGCACATTTGATACCTTAAAATTATTAGTTCCTGTATGTAAATCACTGATCTGGATTCCCCTCCATTGTGCGCACACACACACGCACACACACACACACACAGTTGGTGCTCTCCTCATTTCTTCCAGCAGGGGGCAGCAGTGAGCTCACCTTGAAGCCGATGTCACCCTTCTTGCAGCAGAGGCAGGCCAGCATGAGGAAGACGAAGGTGAAGAGGCCAGAGAACGAGACAGCTACCACCGCCAGGGATGAAGGCCACGACAGCTCGCTCAGCGGAGCACCATCTGCAACATGGGAGGATAATGCCAGTGTTAACAGGGTGGAGCTGTTCAGAGATCAGATGGCAAACTGCAGTCATGCAGGAAATTAAAAAACTAAATAGAGATGAAGGTGAT